CAACATCAATTCAAATGTAAGCTAGCATTGATTCCTGGCCCTTATGTCATCATGTTCCTAAAATGCAAAATCCTTCAGAATTTTCAAGAAAGGCAAAACAGTTTGCATCATGAAAAGATGAAAGAGGAAAGAAGAAAAAGAATCAGAAAGATATCACCTAGCTTGCTACAGCCCCAATACAGTCCAAAACCTACTACAACTCTGCATAAAGCAAGTCAAAACCTGCATAAATATTACACGAAATCAGCATGGCAAAATACTGCATTAGAAAAGGCATGGAGCAGTAACTACAAATGTTCAAACTCACCCAAACATTTCTCCCTATTTTTCTCACCATCTCACATATATAACAGAAGCAAACGAGGAGGGGACGGTAGTTATTAGAAAAATATAATACAGAGAAAGTTCACCACTTCAGCGATACTCTCCTCCTTTCAGCCTCTTAGTTTCAACAAAAAAAATGTAATAGAGGCCATATTCGAACCAACCATACTACCGCAGCCATCACCAAAAACTTGTTTCATTCAAATTCACAAAATCTTACCTTCGCAACAACGTTCATGGAATCAACAATCCTTTTGAAACAAAAGGAGAAGGAAAGGATCAAGGAAGGAGCCTATCAGAAAGAACCTCATCCAGGTCAGTAATCTGAGATCTCTGCTGCTTCATTTTATTTTCTGCCTGATACCATGTTGTTTTTCTATACTGTTAAATAGCTATTTCCCATGAATGTTTGATTTCACATTTGTCTGAATCCTCATTATCATCCTGAAATCATGATAAAACAGTATGTAAGTTTATTTTTCGTGTAAATAAAACCAGAAAAACCAAAACGGAAAAATTGAAAACAACCCATTCCTCTTTATTATTCTCACTTCATCCATAAATTCCCTTTTCTTATCCATTCATACGGTACTCCCTTCACCTACCACAACCGCCTTCATCCTCACAGCCAGCTACCCAAACCGTTCCACGCTCTCACTCTCAATACGCTAGCTATAGCCACCAACAACATCCTCATACGCCTTTCCCCGGTACCAAACTAAACACCACCTTCAAGTTACAATGTGACCCTAGTCTCTCATTCTGCTACACTACAATAATACACAAAACATCCCACAGAAAAAAAGAGAAAACTCATTAAATATTCTTAGTTAACAAACCTTTTCAATCTGTAAATTACCTCAGAAGGGAAAATATCTGCAACTTGCCTAAACCCTCATTGTTCACCATCAACAATACCTTGTCGGTCGATCTATTCCGCTCAACCGCACGCTTCAAACTTCACCACTATCCATCCACCTTAAACAAATCTTCAACCTTCGTTTCATGTGTTACTTCCGTTTCGCCATATCTCCCATGCGAACCACCCTCTGGACACTCTATACGCTCCCTTCATCTTTTTTTAAACATAATTATTGTTATTTTGTGTGTACTGGATACGAGCAAGATTCAGATAGAACGAAGGAGCGTTCGTCGTGTCACCTCTGTTTTGTTTCATTAGTTTTTTCTTTAACTGGGATTTTATTGAAAACAATAAATTGATATGTCTTTTTTCCTTCCCAAGGCGTGCGGCGCTGCTTTTGCACTAGGGTTTTTCCCAAAACTTTTCCTTGCCTCTTCCCCCAAATCGGGTCCGGTCCAAGCTCAATCTGTTCTACTGGCCTCACCCCCATTTGTTTGATTTGTTTACAGCAAGTAAATAACCAATTCCTATTTTACTACTTACACCTTTTTTTATTAGTTTAAATAATCTTTTTTTATTTATTAATTTAGTCTAATTTCTTTTTTTTTTAGATAAGAATATTGTTTCCTTTTTTGATTACTTTTGTTAATAATTTTTTTTTATCGTTTAATTAGCTTTCTTTCAAATTATTTAGTTTCTACATGATAAAATTCAAAAAAAAATAATAACAGAATAGATTCTTTATTCTTTTCAAAAAAAACTTACGAACAAAAATATTAAAGTGTTATCTATCTTGCTAATTAATTTGTAAATTACGCTAGTTTAAATATATGTTCATTTTCAATTCGACTTGGTTGTATTGTTTGCTATTTATGCTTTTAAATCGCATTCGACTCATCCCCATTTGTAAAAAGTGTACCCCATTCCTGAAAGTTCTGTAATAGCGTAGAATTTTAATTCCCGCAATTTATTGTTTTCTATATACTGTATAGTAAATAGGCGTGCATGGCAAGATTCCAAAATCAATCGCTAGATAACCTAATTTCAAAGACAAAATAACTTGAACCAAACACACTTTTCACACTCGCACCTCTAGGGTAACCTCGCTTGTTGCCTCGGAAACACAGTCATGTCCCTCGAATATGGGATGTTTTAGCAATGACCCTTCGATAAAAAAAAGATCGTAGTCCCTCGATGACCCTCGACGTTGCCTTCAATAAAACGATCTAGTCCCTTACGAAAAATTGCTAAAGCGTCTCATAAGTTGCTTTCGATGACTGTAAAATTGACCCGCGCTTGTCCCTTCACATCCAACGATGGGGCTTCTTACCAAATTAATGGTAAGATAGAAACATTAAAAGGAGTAATAAGAGAACCTTGAGACCTTTCGAGTAGGTAGATTCACTCCTAGTTGCTCGCTTGCTCACAACAAAAACATTTTACACCAACACTTTCATCTTAAAACATTTTCAAAAGACAAAACCTTTTGTATACGTTCTTATAGAGACGAGAACCATTGCAAAACATCTTTTCAAAACACTTTCCAAAACACAATCCACAAACACATCTTTGAACCGTCTTTCGAAACAAAACTTTGTACGCGTTCTCATAGAAACGAGAACCATTACAAAGAAATTTTTCAAAACACTTTCAAAGCCTACACCTCAAGCACACTGTCAAACAAAAGCAAGTGATCTAAACGAGTAACTAAGAGCCCATGGAAAATTATGGATGAAAAGGGTGCTAATACCTTCCTTTTTCATAATCTACCCCCCAAACCCGAGAAATAATCTTGAAAGGTCTTTCTTGTGTTTTTTTACCTTTCCTTTTGGATAAAAGAAAAGTCGGTGGAGACTCTTGCTATCCGCACAAATGCGATCAAAACGCAAAACACCAAGTCAGTTCTCCCACCATATCACAGAACTATATGAAAAAATTCCATGAAATTAGGTCAAAATCCTGCCTAAACTAGGGCAAAATTTTCACTAAGTGTTTAGTTTCATGACCATGACTTCATGGATTATTAACTTGAGATCCAAGAATTTTTAGGAGAAGTTGTGTAAAGCAATGTTGTAGATATCATGGAGATCTACAACTTTTATTTTGAAAGCTTCTTTTGAGTCATCTTTCATCGTGGTGAAAAATTGGCTCAAAGTTGTGAAAAAATATGAAGTTTTCAACATTTAGAAAATTTTCTATGTTTGAAAACTTTGGCTTTTCAAAATGAAATCTTGACATTTTGATTTCTTTATGAACAAGTTTCATATTTTAACATGTTTTGATGAATTGTGATCTTTGACACTTGATTTTGACCAAAAAGTCAAAGTTTAACTTTTCAATGTATAGTTGACTTTTGATCAGTTGACTGAAAATCAATTATCAGTCCAATTGATCTTGAGCAATATTTTGAGTCATGCCATTAGGTCAAAATGATGAAATTGAAATCTTAAGATCATGCCTCAAACCAATTAACCATTTACTAGGCCAAAAATCAGAAATTTACCTTTCTATGTCAAAACCCTAATTTTGACCATTTTGCCCTTTTGATGGTTTGATCAAATTTCTTGAGGAATTATGGTCCAAACTTGATCAAATGATACATATGAGTTTAAAATGTTGATTTGGATCAAAAATTATGAAGTTTGACTGTGAATTGGCCACAGTTGACTTTTCCCCAATACAGTTGATTTTTAGGTCAACTGCTCAATTGAATGAGCAAAAATGTGATTCAAGGCTTGAAACTTGACATGAGTAATATTGGGGGTCCATAATGATCCATTGGAGTCATATTAGGCATTGAAATTTCAATTGTCCTTGTGCAATCTCAAACCCTAATTTCAGTCATCGGTGCTTAAGGAGGTGTCTTGAGCTGATCAATCCTTGTGCAGTCTTGAACCCAAGGAGATCTTGTGAGAAAATATTTGATAAATGAGAGGGAAAATTTTGGGGTAAAACATAATAATAATGCCATAGACATATTTTCCAACAAACAACTTGCCACTGAAATTCAATAATCCATGAGCAATACTATCATTTCTTCAATAACTTAGGATAATAAGTTCCAATATTCAATATTGTCTTCAAATATTGAGTATCACTAAGAGACTTTTTAATTTCTCTACACTTTAATGATTCAACATAGAGTTTATCAGGAGCCATTCCCCTTTTGAAAACAAAATTCCATCTGACTGTACTTTGTTTAGAATGAATAGGAACTAATGAAGAGTTCTTGGGAAGCTTATTTCCATTAATAGAAATTTTAATAATTATAACACCTTTTACATCATGCTCATTAATCTTCACATTGTCATGCATTAAGAGTGTGAAAAGTTCCTCAACATCATCCTCTACATCTTCTATGATCGAAGTAGTTCTCCCTTTTGGGGCAACATTTTCTTCCTAGTTGATTTCTCACTAACAGTTACAAATTTATTCTTTTTACATGTATTATCCTTCTTCTTGGGTGTCTTTTTTATCTTATTATGAGTAGGAACCTTATTAGAAGGAGTCCTCTTATACTTATACATAGCCTTTTTATTTTCCACCTTTTCTTGGAATTCTTATCAGCCTTTTTACAGAGACAAATATCATTAGTTAGTCCTTCATTGACAAGGGAAGACCCAACATGAAATTTGTTGTTCTCAGGTATAGAAACCTCATAAGTACATAGAAAATCATTAATAACATCATATATTTTGTCACTCACATTATTCACCACATCATTCACTTTAGGATTGTTAGGGGAAACTTGCTCATCCTTCTTTTGAGTTGGAGACTCAGTCTCTAACATGTAAAACATTTTGTCTGGCACATCCTATTTAACAACTTCATTACCATATTCATTGACATCTTCAATGAAATCTTTAAATACATTAATTTTATTATCAATCTCTTTAGGTTCCAAGTGAGTAGGGATATTAAGCATGGGATTATCAGGACCAGTTTCAGAGGTGACAATCTCAACATTAAGAATAACATGAATCACATTCTTAAGGCAAGAATTATCACCACCATTAAAGTAATCTATTGCATCAATAACAAGTTGATTGTTGTAAACCATAACAATAATATCTCACAATATAAAAGTTCCAAAGATTTTACTGTGAGAATACTTAGGTTTGAGAGTAGAAGAAACACCTCAGGACTTATCATCAGCCTTTCCTAGAATCTCTACGCCTTTCATACGATCTTTGTGAGCTTTTGTAACTACAACATCTTTTCATGCCTTTTCTTTGGTGTCTTCTTTAGAATGCCACAAAGACTCTGAAGACCTGATGTTATATTCTCTCTTCTAGCCTCATGCTCGCAGAAGCCTCTGAAGTGCAGAAGGAAAGGAGATAATGTTAAGGTGGTACAAATAGTATATGGTACAATTAACGTTTCATTCCGCTACCGTGAAAGGACGGACGCGTCGCACGATCTTGTCCCCCACGTTACTGTTCAAGCTGACAATGTTTCTGGAAATTCCAAGAGTATCCCTCAATGGATACATTATGCTAATAGCTATATGTAAAGGCTTGAAGACTAAGAAAGAAAGCATCCAACTAACAAAATATTTATGCGCAAACGTTGTTCATTGCTTTCACATTCTTAATTCATTGTTCATAAAATAGTTTACATACTCAGCTTTTTAGAAAAAACATTCTTGTAAACAAAACTTCTATTCAAACATTTGTTTGATATTCCTTAAGGGACCGGGTAGGCCTGAATCCTTAAGAAGTATAGTGCTTGCGAGTTTTAGAAGTTGTTAGTCACTTGCGAGTAGCTTGTGCATTGTAATAATCAAGTTGATTATTAGTTGACATTCTTTAAGGGACCGGGTAGGTCTGAATCCTTAAGAAGTATATATCTTGCGAGTCTAGAGGTTATTAGTCACTTGCGGGTAGCTTGTGAGAATTGTAATCATTTTGGTTATAGTGAATTAAGTCATCGATTGAGTGAGACGAAATCACCTTGGCGGGTGGACTAGACTAGTGTGATAATTTTCAAGTGAACTAGTATAAACATATTGTTGTACCCCAAAAATTTCCCTCTTTATTCTCAAGACATTTCTCACAAAAGACCTAAAATTCTCAAGAAGTTTCAAGAGTTTGATCAGACAAGTTCACCTTCTAAGCACTGAGACCACAAATTAGGGTTTTGACTGAAGTTGACTGATCATTGACTTTTGACCTAATACGTAATCTAATGGTTTGAAACATAATATCAAGGACTCAAACACAACATGTTTACCTAATTTCATGATTCAAATCATTTCTCAAGATCAAAAGATTGATAGTTGAATTTTTTATCAACTGATGAAAAGTCAACTAATACACAAAAAGTCAAACTTTGACTTTTTGGTCAATATTATATTCCAAAGATCAAAATTCATCAAGACATTCAAAAATATCAAACTTGATCATCAAGAATCAAGAAAGTCAAGAAAATCCACAAAAAGTCAAAGTTTCCAATACTTAGAAATTTTCTAAGTGTTTTTATACTTGATAAATTCATTACTTCATGACATTTTTTTCACTAAGATGCAAGATGATTCAAAGAAAACTTTCAAAATTAAAATTGTAGATCTTGATGAATTCTACAATTTTGTATTATAGGGTTGATGTTGAAAAAATTCTTGGATTTGAAGATATAGGCTCATGAAGTCATGACATTTTTGTATAAACACTTAGAGAAATTTTCAATAGGTTTGGTCAGATTTTTGTCCCAAGTTCTTGGCCAATTTTCATCAAGTTCCAATTTTATTTAGCCAAAGTGGTCAACATGAAAGTTATAGACAATGTTTCAATCTTTCCAAAACATCCAAGAGCATGAACTTATCATACTTGAGCTAGGAGATTAAAAGGCATGAAGTTGGGCATCTAATCTGGAATTGCAAGTCATTTTGGTGAATAACACATAATCCGATCTACATGATATGATGTATAATCTTGATTTTCAGGCCTTTTAACTTGAAACTCTCACCATAATTTAATTTTTACACAAACTTTTGAGCTATGGTCCATTTAATTTAAGCATTATCCAGGTGATCTTTCCATTTTTGGCACAAAGTTAACATTACAATTCTTGCAAAGTAGCTTTAATCACAAAGTCAGCTCTTCTTGAGCCTATAACTTGTTCCTTCTACACACACTCAATATATAAAACTAGACAGGCATGCTTAAAGTATCCAACAACTCTATGAAGCAAAGTAGAAAGCATTGGAACTATGGTCTTCCAGCTTGCTTCATTTACAATCCAACCTAGCCACAACATGTGATCTTGCAAATCTGATCAACCCTTGTCTTAAAACCTCTTGCCTATAAATAGAGAGATCATTTGCAAGATAGAGAAGAAGGAAAAATCCCTCAAAATCTCTTTGCTCTCAAAAAACCAGAATTGTCCATAAAACCTCCATTTTTGAGCTTTGAAGTCCAAATCTTTGAATCTCTCTAACCTTGCAAGTTTTTGCCCAAACAAACCATCCAAATACTTCACATACATCATATAGAAATTTTTAAAACACAAGAACAACTTTTGTAACATCACTATCACCGTCTTCCAAACTCAAAAACAGTACCTTGCAACTTGACTTAGTTAGAGTGATTCAGCAATTTTCAACATAAAAGGAGGATTGGCGAAGCTTCAAGAAGGTCCAAAGAAGCTCAATTAATCACCACTTTTCACCCGGAAACATCCATACATGTTCTAAAGTTTTCACTTCAAGAGGTAAATTTTCTCAAACTGTAATATCTTTGTCCATACATCATTTGCTTTCATTTTCAAAAGGATACAACAGGATAAATTAGAGAGAAAACTTAGTAAAAAGACAGGACAGAGGATGACACGGTTGCCCGTGTCCCATGACACGGCCCATGTCAACTCAATTGGGTTCAGAAACATGCAAAACAGGCAAGACATGGGCTGACAAGGGCTCCTGTGTCACACGACACGGCCTGTGTCAATTTGGATGGAACAAAAAAATTATGCAGAGGCATGGGCAGATGCTGACACGGGTTCCCGTGTCCGGTGACACGACCCGTGTCAGCCTAGGCATAAGAAATCCTGATTTTTGACACTTTTGCTATAATTTTGGATCATTAAAGGTGCACTAAACATTTTGCATTGCTTGGAGATAGCCTAACACTATACAAAAACTTTTTCCTAGATAAAACATTCAAGTTATTTTCTAAAACAATTGAAACCATTAGGCTTAGGTTTCGTCTTTAATTAATTAACTCCTTTTGTAATTAAATTAACTACAAAACATTTTCTATCAAAAAACCCTAAAAAACAATTTCTTTTGACTTTACATTCTTTGCGCATTTTGCTATTTCACATTACAATTTATGTAATTGTCAAATCCTTGTAATAGTAATTAGGGTTTATTTTGCTTGTCATCCCCATTTGTAAACTTGTATCCCCCATCCCCAAAAGTATTGTAATAGCGTAGGACCTTTAAATTCTGCAATTTATCGATTTCCTTATTATTGCTAGTAATTAGGGTTTGTATGGAAAGATCTTAAAATCAATACTAGACAACCTTAACTCAAGATAAAATATTTGAAAATAATACATTTTGGACACATGCACCTCTAGTGTAACCCACACCTGTTGCCTCGGATATAAACAATCATGTCCCTCAAACGTGGGATTTTTTAGCAAAGACCCTCGATTACAAGATTGTAGTCCCTCAATGACCCTTCAAAGTTGCCTTCAATAAATGATCTTAGCCCCTCATGACAATTGCTAAAACGTCTTACAAGTTACCTTCTATGACTGTATGATAACCCACGCCCATCCCTCACATCCGATGATATGGCTTCCTACTAACTAATGGTAGACAAGCACTATCTAAAGGAGGAGGAAAAGAACCAAGACTTTTTGAGTAGGTATATTGCTCGTAATTGCTTTCTCACAAACAAAACCATTTCCATACTTCACACTTTCAAACATATTTTAAAGCAAACATTTTGTATACATTCTCAACGATACGAGAATCATTACAAAGTTGCCTTACATTGGCATTTTCAAAACATCTTTCAAAACATTCCCTTTTCAACAAATATTTTCAAAACCAACACTTTGTATACATTCTCAACGATACGAGAATCATTGCAAAGTTTTCTGAACTAAGGCGTTTTCAAAATATTTTCAAACTTACACAAATACAAAGCATTTCAAATTGATCAAACAATTAAGATCCCGTAGATAACTACGGATAAAAAGGGTGCTAACACCTTCCATTTTCATAACCTACCCCCCGAACTCAAGAAAATATCTCAAAAGGTTTTTCCTGTTCTTTTCACCCTTTCCTTTATTGGATAAAAGAAAAGTCGGTGGTGACTCTTGCTATCCGCAACATTGCGATAAAACACAAAACACCAAGTCAGTTCTCCCACTGTATCACAGAACTGGAGACTCTGCTAGGGATTTGTAAACTAAAAGTGGGGTTACCTTAAAAGTTATTTCACCTTTATTTGCTCTGTTTATCTTGTTTGCTTTAAATTTATGGGTATGCTTGGGTTTTACTTGTAAAGATCCTATACCCGGATCTGGGGCATATTAGGTAAGTAGCAATAGATCATAGAAATTGTACGGCGTAGACTGATATGGTTGAAGTGATGGCTACGTCAGCATGACACATTTGTGGGTACCAGTGTCCCTTGTGTCAAATCAAGGAGAACACGGGGCCGTTGTATGGTGTCATGAAGCACTAACTGACCGTAGAACCTTAGTTGAACAACTTGGCCATTAGAAAGAAGTGAGATAGCCGGCTTTGGTGTAAAACTGAAGATTGGTTGATACTCGATACTACACTCATTAAGATCGGACTTTCGGGATATTTTGGACACAAAGAAAAGATTAATTATGTTGAAATAATGTCCGATGAAGAAAGATCAATGATATTGAGATTCCTTAGAACTCGATTACTTCTTTTAGGACAGGTTTAACCAACTAAACTTTAAGATGGTACTTACCTATAAACCCCATGCAAGCCTAAACCTAAGGTCATTGTGTGCTTTGTTTGTGATTAATTATTCATGACATCATAAACATCATGACATCATGCCATAGCAT